AATTTTTCCATCAGTTCTGCTGGATATTAATAAGTAATGTTGGCAGTGAATACCCTTTGGGTTTCTTCAGCTCAAAAACTGAAATGCCTTAGGTAAGGCCCTCGAAGAAAGGATATCAATGAGTGGCTTTCAGAGTGTGAAAGAGACAAGAGCTGGATGCCACAATTTTTATGCCATCAGCAAAAACCCTCTTAGTACATTTAGACAAGTTGCGATCAGCGCAGAGGGTCTGTGTGGCATTACAAGTGTAAGTACACAAAATCAGCACGCCTGTCACAGGGAAAAGCCTCCATCTGGAATAAGAGAAGATGTCATCATTCCAGATGAGCTAGCAAAAATGTATCACTAGCTCAGCAGGAGCTGGACCACTGTTACCTTTTCTTAAACACAACTATTCAAGCCTTTTGAAAAGCCCTGGCTGCATACACACAACACACTTAACCTGGTGGATGAACTCACTCATTTTTAGTACGATGCATTGTACCATGAACTAACCCACATAGCTGGATTTACAAAAGTCTCTAAACTGGGGAATTCTGGGAGTTGAAGTCCACCCATCTCCAACTTGTCAAGGTTGAGAAACACTGCTCTAAGCTATAAAACAGTGGTGGCGAACCTATGGCACGCATGCCAGAGGCAGCACTTGGAACCCTCTCTGTGGGCACATGCACCGTCGTCCCAGTCCCACCTCCTCCCACGGCCCCCTCCTCACCAGCAGCCCCCTTGGAGGAGAGCTGCCCTCGGGTGCCGCCCACGCGAAGCAGCAAAGCCAAGGACATGGTAGCCATGCAGTGGGGACAAGACTCCACTCTTGCAGCCCGTCATGCACATCTGATGCTGCGGGGCACGGGCAGAGGGCGTGGCCGCCATGGCGCTGCTGGGCTGCCTTGATCTGTGGCGGGTCGTGGAGGTGGTGGGTGGCCCAGCGGGCAGGGCAGAGCGGGGACGGGGAGGGGGGGAAGTTTTTGGGCACTCGTTTCTCTAAAAGGTTCACCATCACTGCTATAAAATATTAACCAGATTTAATATGAATTAAAGACCACATGCTGTGTGAATGGCCCCATTAAGTTTGTAAATGATCTCATTAGGTTTGTTATCAGAACAGAACCAATTTGTATCAGTCTCATGCCAATTTTAATTCTCATGGCTTCCTGGGAACAGCAATTTGGGAAAGGTGTTAGCTAAGACGTCTGATCTAGCCTCCTGTCTCCAATTCCTTACAATAATAGGTTATTCAAACACCCTGAATCCTTATTAATCAAGGTGCTCGGAAATTTCACACATTCAGAAAAAGGGTCCCCTATTCCCAAATATGAGTGAAATCACAGAATTGTGGTTATATATATATGACTATGTCAACAGCAAAGTGAAGAAGCCT